TGACGTCAGTAAAACGCATGCAGGCCATGAATTACGAGAACAACTATGCCCTCTGTAGGCTACAAAACAGCATGACATATGAACTTCAAAAGCAAGAAATTAAATTTTTGTTACTTTTTATTTTGGTTTTATTTACGCACGAAACAGAACATTTTCTGGAACCCTGGGGGAGTACATCTAGTTATTAAATACCTATTTTTATATCTATACATGTATTGATTATCTAAGGTGTTATTTTCAATATAGTTAACAGAGGGCGCAGCACACCTACCGAATGCACGTGCGTTTCGGTTGAGCATTTGGTTTTTATGTTTATTTATAAAATGATACTCTGACAGTTGAGAAAATGATTTACTTTTTAAATATTTCGTGCTAAAGGAATTATAAATTAAAAAAATATGATTTACTAAAACAGTTTTATTTTATATATGAACGTACTTTCCCAGAGATTGCCATTTCGTCGACAGTAATTTCACATTGCTTCGTGTTCTACTACTATTACTCAGTATTAGTAGTAGTTGGTATTAAGTTAAACATTGTTATGGAAGTTCACATTAATGAAAACATGAACAGTGAAAGAAGCCACCGAGCAGAGCCAGATTTTCTCATGGCATTAATGGTAAATTGTATACAGATAATATTAAAAAGTGTAGTGTAGAATTAGCCTAAAAATCACTCTCAGTCCCAGTGTCTCGTATACTTTACAAATAAATAATATCTGACCTTACAACTCGAAGATGGCAAACGGTGGGAGTGTTTTCGTTTGTTTGTTTCCAATGTAACATAAAATAAAATTTACTTTTACTTTATATCTTTTTTTATTTTTAGGTTTTATGAAAATTTTAAAAATGATTTTTTAAAATAGTATAATATTACTAAGTATATAGTTCTATTCAGTATCACTATCAGTATACAAATTACAAGCAATTTTTTGTATTTTGACCTTCGTGGTCATTGTCGATGTCAATGAATGGTGTGATGGTGACAGATGTAAACAAATGTTTAGAAATACCAACTGAAAAATGAGTCTAAATATAACACAATACAATACTTATTTCTCAGCTTAAATTATAGAAACTTAAATAAATTAAATGGCTCTTTTGCACAGATAAATGATTAAATCACACAAACAAATTAAACATTTTAAATTTTCAATTAGATTTATTATAAACAGAGCACAGCCATAAGAAAAAGAGTACATTTATCAGTAGCATAGTAGTATTTTTGGGCTTAGGCCCTGTTTTTAATAAATCTAATTTTATTGTAAAATATGTCAGCATTGTGTATGTGCTCTTAATCAACACTTGTTTTGAAAAAGGTTAGATAAAAAAGATTATATTTTAGTTCTTCACATTATATCAGGTTTTAGGCATAAAGATTTACTTTCAAAACTAATTGAATGATCAGTATTTAATAGATCTTTCTCAATACTTGACAGAATTATGATGTTTGTTAGGGATAGATGCTGTCAGTATTTCTGTTACTGACAGGTATTTTCTCTAGTTTCCTAAATTTGCCTTAGATTATTTGGTTTCTCTTTTGAAACTTTATTTTTCAACTAGTACTATAAATTTCAATTTGGATTATCATTGAATTTTAGGACTGGCAGTTTCATAGTTGTTACATTATCAGCTCTTTACTTCCTCAAATACCTGCAGGTCATTATATTTTGGATCATTATTCTGCAGAAACTCAATGTAAGGGCCACGTAAACATCTAATAGGGAATACAAGATGAATTAAGATATTGTGGTATGACTGAAATTGTTACAGACCCATTTTCATGTTTCAATGCTTTGCTTACATACATAATCTTTTCATGATCATGTCTCTGCATAAAAAGAATTAGAGTCGAAAGAAAAATTATTTTTTGTTTACTTTAATTTTTGTAGTCCTTTGTAATAGGACAAGAGTTTTTAAGATAGGATTTCTGAATACAAGTGATGATTAAAAAGTAAATTCCAAGATTGGAAGTCATATCGTCATTGATGGAACTACGATATAGTATATTTGCAGACAAGAACTTTTCTATCACAAATCCTTATTTTTCCTTTTTTTATCATATTCTGTGAAGGTCCAGCCTCAAGAACATCTGAGGATGAAATGAACAATTTTTGTTAGTAGTGAAAAGGGTAGTCTTCTCTGCAAAGATTTAGTCCTACTATGTTTTAGCACTGATGTACTTTCTATCAATTCAACATGATGGTCAGAGTGAT